GAAAGATTGAGGCTTAACTCTCACCACTTTCTATTAAAAAAAAACCCCACAATCTCAATGCTTCAAGAAATTGGCATGCTTCTAGAGAAAACACATATTAGATATACATAGCCATTGTTGATGTGAAGTACAAACCACCACAAAGCTACAGCCAACTCAAATCTTTTGTAGTAAGCACGCTCCTTATTTCAAGAGACCCTAAAATAGTGCAGAATGGATTGATTTTGTCTTTAGTCTGAGTAAATCAGTATGGAGTGGGATGAAAGGGAATGATAAAGTATTGCAGGATCCAGTCTGGATCCGTCACTGAGACCAGAGGCTTTGCCTTCCGAGCTTTTCAGACTCATGCTGGAGCCCATCCTCAGGAAAGTTCTCTCTAGATATTATATCTCTAGAGAGCAGTTCCCTGAAGATGGGCTCCAGCATGAGTCTGAAAGCTCAGAAGGCAAAACCTCTGGTCCCAATGACTGACCCAGACTGGACCCTGCAACATTATCCCAGGACACATATATTTGCCTTCATTCGTGATAAAAGTATTTGCTAAATAGGCAGGATTGGAAGATATTCTAACCCAGGGGTCTTCAAACTTGGCCCTTTTATGACTTGTGGACTTCAACTCTCAGAATTCCTCAGCCAACATGCCTGGCTGAGGAATTTTGAGAGTTGAAATCCACAAGTCATAAAAGGGCCAAGTTTGAAGACCCCCGTTCTAACCTTTTGTCTTGGGAAGTTTAATTCAGTCAACCATCACATATTTAAGAAAGGGGAGGAGTCTTTTTCATGTGTTACTTCTCCTATTACGAGAGCTCTGGTGAAGGCATGTCTCCCGAGCTGACATCACCGAGCTGACATCATTCAAATGGAAGAAAGAGGTGTCATTCCATTAGAATGTTTGCATATTATACCCTTACTAAGGAGTGAAGTCCAATTCACGTGGAAGGTGGTGGCCTTCAGTGACTATTGGATGTATCAGTGATCTTCATATGGATTAAAGCACCAATAGTGACTGTGCCAAAATGCTTCGCAGAAAGCAATGCAGATGCACATGCGGCTACATCTACTGTTTCTGTTCACACATAACTAAAGCATTGCACTGGTGATCATATGAACAGATGTTAAACCCATACTGATGTAGCTATCATCAAGCTATGAACAGCAGGCATATATCTCACTATATTCTCAATGGGGTTCTTTCCAATTGAATATTTACAGGTTATTAAATCTGAAGGAAGTAAAAGCCCTTATTTATCTAATGAATTTCTACAGATCAGAAAATATGAAACTAATGAACCAACCAACACTGGAAGTCAGTTTTCTTTCCTGCTAGTGCCTCAGATTTGATGTATTTTTGTCATGCTCACAATTCAACTATCAGTCAGTTTTTCTATAGCAAAATAATATATTGAGGCAATAACTATTTGTTAATTTAAGACTTGTGAAGATTGCATTGTGAAGGGAAAATAAATGTGTAATTTTGTATGCTGTTGCTTAATAAGCTTTCAGAGTAGGAGTATATGCAAGAAATTGATCAGTTGAAAAACATCACGTTAATATTAGAATGTACTCCGCTCAGAATACGTTTGAGAGATGTCCCTATTTTTCTTTACTCAGATTTGATTAACAATAGAATAAAGATTTGAAATATATGAAGCACTCTGCTCTTTCAAGGTACATTTTCTGTACTTAACAACAACAAAAAAGTCAACCAAACTGGGCTTGTGATCAGTTTGAATTTCAAAGAAAACTCAGCAACAATCTCTTTGTGGCTTTTTGCAAAGAACTATCACCAACGAACAGCTTATTATTGTGTGGAATCTATACTCACCTTTTTTTTGTTTTCCTGAAGAATATTCTGGGCAGGCAGAGAACAGAGCAGCATACAATAGCTATGAAATATGTGGGAGTCCAAAGTTGAAATGATCCATAAATCACTTAAGTAAAGTAGGCCCATGGAAGAAAAAGAATTATGCACAGAAGAGTTCAAGTATTATTTCAAAGAAACATACAAAAACATAATTATATTGCATTCAATCTGATTCATAGGTTACCAAGTCATCAACCGCCAAACCAAAACTATTTGGCTCAGTTCTATCTAAAGATATAGTTTCTATGTATTTACCTCAGGATAAATCTCACTGAATCAGACAGTATTGTATGTGACTGTAGACACATAGCAGAAAGGCTGCAATCCTGGGTCCGCTTACCTGAAAGGAGAGTCCACTGGAGATAGAGGGACTTACTTTTGAGTAAAAGGATAGGAGTACATCTATAAATAGAAATGAGAATTCCAACCCACAGCTATGTTATGTTATTGTTGTTTTCATTACTATTCTTATTGGTTTCTTGAGAGGTATAGATTGTGGGAATAGATTAAGTCTCTCACCCCCAGTTCCCCTCAAGCACTGAACTATAACTGGAGAAATAAGCAGTAGCACAATCCTATGCAAGTTTATTCAGAAATAATAGTCCCAAAGAATGCATATGGGATTAAAATAGTTTTTTAGATCACTGAAACATGGCTGCCTTCCAAGCAGAAGGAAACATTTAAGAAACCACTAAGAACATTATCAAGTGAAATACAAGTTAAAATCTTGAGTGGATTATTGAAAAGGAAACCATCTTATTTCCCTTTCCAATGTGTTTAACTGAACAACATTTTAAGGCTTGTTCTGCCCACCATACTGTTTAGTTTAAATCTATTGTGTGTGCTGTAATTTTTGATACAGTCCAAGTCTGCCTTTCCCAACTGTGCCCTAACTAAAATACCTAGACTTTACATCCAGGAGAATTTAAGAGATAAATGGGAATTCTAAAAGCAATAGTCACAAGGTCTCAGAACGCCATGTACAAAATATTTATATTTCATAGGTATAATCACAAGTAGCAGCAAGCCCCAGTTGCCTTAATGTGGGAATGTTTCTGAATAGATAGGTATGGAATTGCAGTTTTAGGGTCTTTTTAATCTGCATCACTTGTTCCCTTGGTTGAAACATAGGATAGGCTTAATGAAATTCTATGCCCCAGCTTCCCAATTTTAGCCAGACTCTGCCCGTGAAGTCTAAAACAAAAACAACAGAAAGGGAGAAAGGCATTATAAAGGGACTAAATCCCCTTCATATTTTTGAAATTCCAGTGCAGTTCCAGGAAACAGATCTAACTTCTTCTGCAGTTATTGATACCAAGTTGGGAAGCACGTAAATTTAATAAGTAACTAAGTAAATAAATAACCATGTTTTATCACATGGCCATTTGGAGGGTGCCAAATGCTGAAACATGGGATATCATTATGTACCGTATTTATTCGAGTATAATGCGCAAAATTTTCTACCAAAAAAAGAAATCAAAGTTTGGGTGCGCATTATAAACGAGGGCTGGGGTGGGGTGACGCAGTGGCGGCCGGTCTATTGAGGGCGCAGGCGAATTGTGAGTTCGCACTGTGCCTTTTCCGGGCTTCAGCCGCTCACGCGAGGGCGAAGAAAAAAAAACGTGAAAGTGAAACAAAATTTTATACCGGATTTTTAATCAAAAATTAGGGGTGCGCGTTATACTCGAATAAATACGGTAAGTGCTGTGACTTTCCTACATGTAATTATAATTATTATAAAAGATATAATTTCAATCAACACAGCATTTATGTGCCAATGTCACCACCGATGTGCTGTCATTTTGGCAACAGGCAACCCTAAATACCACCACATGGCTTTACCATAAAGTAAAATCTCCACTCCAAACAGGAGACTGTGTTAATTGCTGAAGGCAGGGAAGGCAACTGCTACCTCTTAAAATAAATTATAACTATGCAATAAAGCTAAAGCATCTCTCGGTGACCTTATATCCATATAAGGGATTTTTGCCAATTCAGATTTTTTTTAAAAATTCTCAGGCTAACCCAAGATCTCCTGATGACACCCCCGTCCAAATACTAACAAACCTCATTCTGCTTAGATTTTTCAAGATCAGTCAAGGTCACTGAGGAAATGCTACACAAACACCAATATGGCTTAGTTTAAAGGATTTTTTGCTGTTTAACCATGCAATGGCCTAAGCACAGCCTTTCACAACCTAATGCCATCTGAACAGATTTAAGATTGTAATTCCCTGGGACTGCAATTGTCCTGGTGGCAACAGCTGCATAAAGTTAGACCCAGGACTGACACTGTATTGTGCACGCTTACTCAGAAAACAAGCCCAGATAAGTGCCTCAGATGGCCATTTTTTCCCCTCACAATTCTACTGCATTGTTATATCAGTCTAACACCCTGGAACCTGATAAAGAGCCTTTTAGGAAACAGATTTTAAAAACCCAAGATTTATCATCACATAAAATTGCCATGCTGTAAAGAAGTAACTGCACTCCTTCTGGAGGTAGTGGAATTCAAAGAAGCAAGGCCAACTGCGACCAAAATATCAGGGCACCAGGTTGCCCCCTACCCCTACCCCCCCATCAACAACCCATCAAAAGTTCTTGCATACTCAGAACAGGCAGAACTCCCAAAAAACTAACCTCAGTCCCTTAACAAATAATATAAAAAATCAGCCATTGTTCTTAGGAATCAAAGCCAGGACCGTTTGTTTGTTTGTTTTTTTAAAAACAGGGGGGGGGGGGGTGTAATTTTTTTCTTAAAACATTTTTATTTAAGCAGGATGGGAAGTATAATGAACACGGATAGCCCCGAGTGACTTTGTCCACACTTTGCTCATCGCGTGGCTGGTCCCACCCTTCTCCACCCCACCCTCCGGGTCGTCGGGCTCACGGTGACGACGATCCCTGTTCGTGGGAGGCGAACCAACCTCCGGCCGAGGCCAAGGGAAGGGCAGCCGCTGGTTTCGTTTGGAATGTGGCCATGGTTTTCCCTCCATGGGCAAGACCGGAGGAGGAAAGGCGGAAGCAGCCGAGCAACCAGGCGGCGGAGCGAGTCTGCGGGGGGGACGGCTGGTGCTTGCCGATCTGGCCACGGCCGAGTCTCCCTTCTCCCTCCCCCCCCCCTCGCGCCGGCTCCGCTTTTTATTCTTTGCCATCCACGATCGCCAGCTCTTGGATCACCCTCAGTTTACCGCTGGCGTCGATCCTGCGCTTCTCTCTAATGAGGTCCTCCAAGCTTTGGAACCGCACCGTGTGGCCCTTGCTGTCTGCCCGGTGGATCTTGAGATAGTATTGCTGCTGAGGCTGAGAGCCCGAGGCCGGCTGGAGCTCGCCGCCGGCTTTGAACTCCCGTTTGCCGAAGCGGCACCAAGCGGCGAAGCTCTCCGAGTTCGTCCAGCAGATCTCGTGGCTCTTTAAGCCCAGGTGGCCGCAGGCGTTCTGCACTACCAGCTCGGCCACGAGGGGGCGGAAGCGGTACCAGCTACTCACCACCCGGCCCACGTTGCCGGCGGCCGCCTCGTACAAGCTGTCCTGCCGAATCTGGCCCTGGTGCAAGTGGATGATCTGAGCGTTGCCCACATAGACTGCCCACTGCGGGGGCGGCGGAGGGTGGTCGGACGGCCCCAGGTAGAGCAGCTCCAGCAGGTCTCCCGGCTTGCACAGAGCCGGCAGGGCTGACGCCGGATAGACGCTCAAATCCCCAGTCTGGGAGTCTCCGCTCACCTTGGAGAAGATGCATTCCTGGCCGCGGAAGGCGGAGAACTGGGTCTCGCTCAGCACCAGCTGCGGCGCGTGGTGGCGGGTGGGGGACTCTTGGGCAGGGCTGCTCGACCCCTTCACGCAGTACTTGTCCGCCTGCCCTCGCTCGTCCAGATCCTCCTCCTCGTCCGAGAAGAAGTATGCCACTCCGACGCGCAGCTCGTCTTTCTCGATCCCCGAGGGGTCCCCGGTCGGCAGCTCGCTGTAACTCAGGTGAGTGATGCGATCCAGTTGATTTCCCATCAATGACAGGGCGCGGCGAGAGCAGGAATCGCCGGATCTGAGGGACGGCAAACAAGAGAAGAGCGGCAGATTAACGCCATGAGGACGTGGGGGGAGGGAGGGAGGGGTGAACATAACAATGAACACGCACCCGACACGAAAAGGGGGTTCTTAGCGCCCCATCTTGGCCAAGGAAGAGAAAACTGTCGCCGGCCGATCTTTCTTGCCTTTTTTTCCCCCAACACGCCCACCCTTTCGCCCGACACTACCCTTAAGACGGGCAGGGGCTGGGTCTGGTCGCCAGAGGTTGCGAGAACCCCTGGGCTGCCCTGTTTGCCAACCCCCCCCCCCCCGATCTGCTGCCGCCTCTCCTAGGAGACCTAGCGGTGCACAAAGGAAAAAGAGCGGCGGCGAGGTTCGCTGTTTGGGACGGCACCCCAAAGCTCTTTCCTCCCCCCCCCCCAAAGACTCAAAGCCACATCCGGGCTCGGTGTTGAGATGTCCCAGCGAGAGGTTCCTCCCGCCCTTCGCTTTGTCTCCAGTTATCGTTCCCCGCGTCTCCCGTTCCTTCTCTCCAAAGCAGCAGCAGCAGCGGCGACGGCGGCCACTTCTCGCGGAGAAGTCGGCAGCTTCCAAGTCGCCGCTCTCCGGCTTCTCATGCACGCCTCGGTCCTCGCTCTGCCTTTGCTTTAACTCCTGGCCCGAAGAAAATCTCCAAGCCGCTGCAAGCTAAACCCGTCCCGCCGGCGGCCTTCCCAGAAACCGAGCACTAGACGCGACGGATGCAAGGTGGGAACGATCAAGTCGACGACAGCTGCGTACCCGGAATCGCCCAGATGCCGACCAAGCCCCCGAACTCCTTTAAAGTCCTTTGGTCGCCATGGGGAGGGGGGGGGCTGCTGCCGCTGAGGCCGAGGAATGGAGCCAGGTGCCCCCTCAGTAGGACCCGCCGCCGCCGCCGCCGTCCAAGCGCTGGCGACCCCGGCCCCGAGTGTCTGAGCTCCGGCTCTCGCTCGCGCCCTTCACCTGCGCGGTCCGGCTCAGCTCTGGGCTCCCCTCCACAGCGCCGGCGAGTCTAAAGTAACAGATACTCCTGACGCCAAGGCCCGCCCCCGGTCGCGCTCATTGGCTGCACGGCTCTGCGCTTGGAAAGCTCGAGCCATCCTCTGGGGTGTCAATCACGGGAACTCCAAGGGTGGGATTCCAGACGCCCGCCGTCTGCTCTCTCCCTGCGGCGGCGAGACCCCGGCCGGCCTCCTCTTCCTCGCCTGCCCGGCTCCCTTGGCGGTGTTTGAGGTGGCGGCTCCGCTTGTGGTAAGCAGCCGCCGTAGGAAGGGAAGCCCAGAGCTAAGCCCCGCCCCCAGCCAGTATCCCACCAGGTAATGCATAACCGTGCCATTAATAGCACTTAATTCGCCCATTATTATTTGTCCTTAAGGATCTTCCTAGGCTTCCAAACCGCGCTTAGGTTTAGAGTCCAGCTTTTCTTCCAACGTTACCCAGAGTTCCTGATGACACGCAAGCTCAACTTGGTTTGCAAAGGGAGGGGGAAAAAAAATAATTCGGTATCACAAAGGAAATCTTTATGTATTTCTCGAGAATGTGCCCATTACGCTTAAATGAGTACCCATTTACGTGGTTTGCGGATGTGGGTGTGAATGGAAGGGGAAGGCTTTATGGCATGTTCTGAACAAAAGCAGTAAATACAACTATCAGAGGTTGGGGAGTTATAATCTCAGTTGCCACAGATACCAAACTGCGCTGCCTTCCGCAGTTATCCTGAGAATGAGGGGATTTTGCAGAAATGATTGTCAGCAGGGGATAAAAGAGTTGTTTTGGAAGTGGTGGGCTCCCTTTCTCTGGATGTCTTCATGCATAAGCTGGATATACAGGAAACACTTCCTTAATTTGGATTTCTGCACCAAGCAGGGAAATGAACCCAGTAGTCTGAATGTCCTCTTCCACCTCTAAGGATGGCATATAGAGTTTTATTCTCAATTTGTAGAGCAAACCTCCATACATAACCAGCTAAGTTAAAATCAGTTATTACAGATCCTTTATAAAAGACAGATAAAAGAGTTGGGCCAAAATGCATATGGTGCGACATAGCAGAACAAAGCAAGGAAGACATCCTAAAGCTAATAATAATAACAATATTATTATTAGGCAGTAATGAGTAAAATGTGCAAATTAAATAGCTCTGAAAAACAGTTGGCAGCAAGAGAAGAGAAAAGGGAAGATAGGGAACCAAACTCCATTAAGAACTATAAACATCAAGGGTCAAAGGCTAGTGAATAAAGTAGGTTAAAAGAATATAAGAAATGGACCATAACTAGACAAAATGAAGAAATATAAAATAACCAATAGCATGTTTGCCAATTTGCATAGTTCAGGATTGAAAATATTTTATGAGGGAGCAACCTTCAATGATAAATCCCATTATTTCTTTCAAATGTGGGGAGTTTTCTGTATTCTCCTTAACCCCTACCCAAGCTTAGCTGAGTCGGTCTTGGCGATGTTTACTCCACCGCACAATTCATTTTGTAGCCAATTGCTGTTATTACTGGCATCAACTCAGGTAATTTTTTAGTGAACTGTCTCTATAAGATCAAGATACAAATGCCAGCTTTTTTCATTTAGTTCAACTTGGAGCCCTACTATTGAGACTGCTTTTTAATGCATATGACTATCTCTTCTATTGAAATAAATGGTGAGCCTTTATGGTTATATTACCATCCAGGCCCACTTTTGCTTCAAATCCTGCCTTGAAATGTATTTATGGGAGTGTCTATTGTTAAATGATAGGGCACATGCTTTAAGAGAGCCTACCAGAGGTAGGCAACCTTGGCTCTTTTATGACTCGTGGACTTCAACTCCCAGAATTCCTGAGCCAGCCATGCTGGCTCAGGAATTCTGGGAGTTGAAGTCCACGAGTCATAAAAGAGCCAAGGTTGCCTACCCCTGGTCTAAACCTTGAGAAGGAGGGGGAGGAGTAGTATTGGTATGTTAGATCTATTTTGGATGCAGTGAAAAAGTCAAAGATACCCAAAATACTCCCTCTATTTTCTCCAGAACAACCTTGTGTGGCAGGTTAGACAGAGAGAGAGAGACTGGTCCAAAGTCACCCGCCTGGCTTTCATGGCAAAGGTGAAACTAGAACTCACAGTCACCTGGTTTCTAGTCTGGGGACATAACCACTAGACCAAACTGGACAATTTGCTGCTGCCCAGGAAGATAATCACTTGACCAGGGAAGAGACCTGGGTTTTAAGTACGTAAGTAAAGCCAAGGAAAAGATTCTTGACTTTTTGGATCTGGGGTTTTGAGAACATTGTGCAGCACTTTCACAAACAATTGATGGGGATGCTGCCCATTCATAATGGGGGGCATAATCAGTTATAAGCACTAATACTCCCTCTCATTTTCTTCTCAACAGATGCTCTATATCAGGGGTGTTAAACTGCCGGCCCGCGGGCCGGTTTCATCATACCGGAGCCGCGCCCACCCCATTGCCGGCAACGGCGAAAAAGCTCCGATACGTTGCGCGATGTCACGTGACGTCGCGAGTTTGACATGTCTGCTCTATATTATCCGTTTCCTTTTTTAGGAAGAGATGGGAATGCCTCTAGCCAAATTACTGGCTGTAGCCACCCCCATTTTGGGGGGGAAGATTTTTGGAAATACGCATGCCAGAAGGTCGGTTTTGGTTTACAGTGTGCTGACTTTCCATTTTCGTTATATAAAAATGAATTTTAATATAGAAGTTAGCTAAGGTAGATAACATCCTGTGCAATTCAGTAGTCATGGACGGATTACTCTGTGGCAAACTTTAGACTGATCACTGTATGAACTTTCAACAAGGTGGTGGATCAAATAAATGCCCCACCTCAAGCACCTGAAAGATCCAAAAGGGTTCGCTAAAATGTTCCTGCATTTTCTCTTATCTTCTGATACTTGTTGTAACTCTGGATATTCTGTGCCATAGAATAGCATGCTAGAGGCAGGCTAACCTGGTTTAACTGATCAGTAGGCACTGTCACATCTGGAGGGAAAGATTGGCATAATCATTATCCCTCATAAGTACTACTTCCTTTTAGAGCAGGGGTGTCCAACCTTGGGAACTTTTAAGACTTTGGACTTCAAATCCCAGAATTCCCCAGCCAGCTTTTTAGAGCCAAGACAGCCCTCCAGTTTAATGACTAGTTGACAGCTGTAATGTGAAAAGGATGGGGCTTGAACCTAAATTTTGTATCATGTACCTGTTTTAAATGGCTGTAAGCCGCCCTGAGTCCGTTGGGAGAAGGGCGGGGTAGAAATTTGAATAATAAATAAATAAATAAATAAATAAATAAATAAATAAATAAATAAATAAATAAAATGAAGGATTTCTTGAAATGAATGAAAATGAGCATAGAGGACAGTGTTACACCATCGCAATGCAAGCAGTAGCCGAATGCCTACTACTACTCTGCCTCTGTCACAAACCTACAGAATGAGCTTGTGTTGTTCTTCCACACTGCAGTGCTTTCAGGACCAGAGACGCTACATTGCCTCGTTTCGTAATTAGTTTTGCATGTCGCTTTCTTTCTCCTGCTGTATCCATGGATAGGAATGCCTTTGTCTACAGCTGGCATCTCATCAGGAACTTGCTTCATTTAGATTACTGTTTTAATTAACTTCAGAACATAAGCATCAGTTCATTCTCAGCAGCCTGACAGTGCAAGGACCTGCCAAATAAATAGACTGCATTTCAATGTCAGAGTGGTTCAAGGTGTACCCCTGTCAGCTCCTGAACAAATAAGCTGCTTAGTAGTCAGATTAGCCATTGGGTTTGCATTGTGGTTTGTGTGACCTCTTTCTCTTCCCAGCCACAAAACAAATGTTTACTTGCCTTTCCAGCTGCAGCAGTAGTTCCAATATGTAGCACTTGTGAATTGCTGGTTAAAAAGAAGACTCTTGTAACCCAAGAAAGCATAGTCAGAAGCAATTTGTTCCTCTGAATTATTGCTGTGATTTGATGGG